TTTAAAATATATTCAAATAGAAAGCAGTTATTTTAAATAGTAAAACATTTTCAATGTTTTTTTGCTGTACTTTGGATCAAATAATGCAGGCTTGGTGAGCAGAAGAATTCTTTAAAAAAACAAAAATTAAAAATCTTACTGTTCAAAAACTTTTGACTGGTAGTGTAGGCTGATAGTCAGTATAAAGAGTATGAAAAGTGCAAACTGATTGTCTGCCAGCAGGAGGTGCTTTAAGAGCGGTTGAACTAGCGGTTTCTCCAGTAATGGCTGTAATCAAATCAGCTCCGCTCATGAACACTTCTTTATTAGATAAAATAAAAATCTCATCGAAACTTTTCTGAAGACAGTCCTTTCCGTTTAGAGATGCATTCATATAAAACACCCGCGACAAGTTTTGATTTTAAAACGTGCAGTGCTCATGTTTATTCAACGAAGTCAAACGCCACAAATAAATCAATGTATGGGAAACACTGGTAATGTATATCGGAAATGTTTAAAAATCATATCCCCGTTATTGAAAAAAAAAAAATATCGCGATACATATTGATATTGAATTATTGTCCAGCCCTAGTCGGATATCGGTTTTGTAATATCGGATTTAGTGATAAACGCCACCATCTTGTGGGTGTTTTGAGAATTGCGCGCAGGATCGCCATTGCAGTGCATCTGAGGGGAGATAAGACAACAACAACGGCATGCTGCTGGTACTTGATTAGCTGTAGTTGGTAAACTTTATTTAACATAACAGCCATTTATGCACAAATTAGATGCATTTCATGCCTGATATGTAGTTTATGCAGCTTGGCTCTAAGAAATAGACCAACTCACAGAGTCATGTAAAATAACCCGTCAAGTCCTGTCCCAATAAAGATGTAACTTTGCCTGAATTAAATATGCAGCCATGAATGAGCGCATGTTGGAAATAAAAGCGCTGAATTGAATTCTCTCTCTGTTGTCTATGCGTCTCGTGAAGACAGTCACGTAGATAATCCGTCAAGATCCTCTCCCAGTAAAGATGTAACTTTGCATGAGTTAAATAATACAGCCATGAATGAGCGCATGTTGGAAATAAAAGCGCTGAATTGAATTCTCTCTCTGTTGTCTATGCGTCTCGTGAAGACAGTCACGTAGATAATCCGTCAAGATCCTCTCCCAGTAAAGATGTAACTTTGCATGAGTTAAATAATACAGCCATGAATGAGCGCATGTTGGAAATAAGTGCTGAATTTAATTCTCTCTCTGTTGTGTATTTGCTCATCATTAGTCTCGTGAAGCCACTTTCATATTGCTGTTCACTCAACAGGTTGATGCGGTTAATGCTCAGGAATAGCTCCAGCACAGCCACCGCATGTAACTTTTTTAGCAAGATTCACTTGTTTAAAACACCCTAAATTGTATTAACATTTATTATATAACAGTTATTTCGTTAATAAACATCTAAATACAACTCTATGGAAATTATCTCCACTAGCGATCGCAGTTTGAGCATAGTTCTGTGTAAATGCATAGATAAACGGCGCTGTCAGCAGGCATTTAATAATCTAGAGGGACAAAAACATTATTAAAAATTCTGATATAACATTCCAGTTGAGAAATGCAATAAAATATGATGTTTTGTTTATTATATTCCAGAGAATATTATTCAGGGAATTAACATTATACAGTGAATTATTCTTGACTCTGTATCTATTGTATCCGCTTATAAACCTACTACAACGGTAGTTTAAAATGAAGTTGATATGACTCCTGTCCTTTATTTATTTTATCCATTTGAAAACATTACACATTCTACATTTATTTTGCTTATTGTTAATGTTAGTGTTTAGTTGCTGTTGATGCTTTTTATAAATAAAATGTTTTTATTGTTGTAATATAAAGATTAAATTTAACATGAAAGACAACTAATTTTCAACACTTTTTAAAATGTGTATGTGCAGTCATGGGGAAGTCGTGGCCTAATGGTTAGAGAGTCGGACTCGTTCAAGTCTCGAACCGGCAGGGATTGTAGGTGGGGGGAGTGAATGTACAGCGCTCTCTTCCACCTTCAATACCACGACTGAGGTGCCCTTGAGCAAGGCACCGAACCCCCAACTGCTCCCCGGGGGCTGCAGCATAAATGGCTGCCCACTGCTCCGGGTGTGTGTGTGTGTGTGTGTGTGTGCACTTTGGATGGGTTAAATGCAGAGCACTAATTCCGAGTATGGGTCACCATACTTGGCCACATGGCACGTCACTTTCATATCGGTTATCGGGCACATAAACGCACATAGTTGGTATCGGTTATTAAAAAAATCAATATCGGTCGATCACTACTCAGTATGTGCAAGTAAACAAACAGTCCAAATTGCAGTCAGGTAGGAAAACTTAAGCATCCTACAATTAGTGCTAATTCTAACTTTTTTTGCTTGAAATCGGTGTAGGTATTACCCATGGAAGGGGGACCGACAGAGGCAGTGGTGGAAGATGCAGGGGATGCTTTCAAGGCCAAGGAATGTAAGACTTACCAAAGGCGACGAGAAGATGAGGAAGTGGGAGCTGAATTGCTGCAGGTTGCTGGGTTAGAGCAAGCCCAGGTTGAAGGAGAGCCTGTGGTGGAGGCTGTCAACAGCGTGGAGATGATGGTGATGGATGCCCTGGACCCTGCCCTGCTCCAGATGAAGACCGAAGTCATGGAGGCTGCTGTTGGTGTTGCTGGTGCAGCCCATGAAGCCACGGTCACCACTGTCGATGACACTCAGATCATCACCCTCCAGGTGGTGAACATGGAGGAGCAGCAGTTGGGCTTGGGAGAGCTGCAGCTGGTGCAGGTGCCTGTTTCAGCTGTGCCTGTCACTGCCGCCACTGTAGAAGCGCTGCAGGGGACGCTAGTGGATGCCACTGCCATGCCTAAAGATGGGGAGCCGGTCATCTGTCACACCCTGCCATTGCCTGAAGGCTTCCAGGTTGGTCATATTTTTTGATCAGGCTACGCATATCAAATGCGATTCTCTGTGACTTTCTGGTGAATCTAAATGTTATATTATCTACAGGTGGTCAAGGTGGGTGCAAATGGAGAAGTGGAAACTGTGGAGCAAGATGAGCTCCAGGCCCAAGATGATCAGCCTCCACAGCAGGAGGAGGAGGATATGGTTGAAGCCCAAAATGAAGACCCCGCCTGGTCCAAAGATCCAGACTACACACCCCCTGTTAAAAAGGCCAAGAAGACTAAGAAAAGCAAGCTGCGTTACAACACAGAGGGCGATAAAGACATGGATGTGTCTGTGTATGACTTTGAGGAGGAGCAGCAGGAGGGACTGCTCTCTGAAGTCAATGCTGAGAAAGTTGTGGGTAACATGAAACCACCCAAACCAACCAAAATCAAGAAGAAAGGTGAGAACGTGTGATAAACACAGATTGAACAGACACTTGCATGTCTGCTTGTCACTTGCACATTATAGTGTCAGTATCAGATCTGTGTTGGGTTTAAATCGCTGTGTTTGTGCAGGTGTTAAGAAGACATTCCAGTGTGAGCTGTGCAGTTACACTTGCCCGCGCCGTTCCAATCTGGACCGCCACATGAAGAGCCACACGGATGAGAGGCCTCATAAGTGCCATCTTTGTGGACGAGCCTTCAGGACTGTGACGTTGCTGAGGAACCACCTCAACACCCACACAGGTACGTGATCTTGAGTGCATTAGAAATTATAGGCTATTTTGTGTGAATTACAAATTGAAACTGCCTTTTTTTTCTCTTTCTGACAGGTACCAGACCACATAAGTGCACTGACTGTGACATGGCTTTCGTCACCAGTGGAGAGCTGGTGCGCCACCGACGCTACAAGCACACTCACGAGAAGCCGTTCAAGTGCTCCATGTGTGACTATGCCAGTGTAGAGGTTGGTCTGAGAGCATCATGTTGAGCTTCCCCCCTTTTATTTATTTATTTATTTTTATTTTTTTTTTTAAATGGAAAGTTGCTTCCAAATTGACCTAAGCCTTGAAACTTTGCAGGTTAGCAAGCTGAAGCGCCACATTCGCTCCCACACTGGAGAGCGTCCGTTCCAGTGCAGTCTGTGCAGTTATGCTAGCAGAGATACCTATAAGCTGAAGAGACACATGAGAACCCACTCAGGTCAGCAGAATTTACAGTTTTTCTCAGATTGTGTTCTTGTCAGCTAAATCGGTTAGATAAATAGAATTGACATGATTTTGGGATTTTTTTTTTTCCTGTTCTACAGGAGAGAAGCCCTATGAGTGCTATATCTGTCATGCACGTTTTACCCAGAGTGGTACCATGAAGATGCACATACTGCAGAAGCACACAGAAAATGTGGCGAAATTTCACTGCCCCCACTGCGACACCGTTATTGCCCGCAAGAGTGATCTTGGTAAAACTGCGATGTTAAGCATTTACGGTTTTGTAGTTGTTGCTGCTGGTTACTTATGTGCTTTTTGTAGCAATGCCAACTTTGAACATGCTTGGTGTATTGATGTTTGCACAATTGCTGTGTCCCTTGCAGGTGTGCATCTCCGTAAGCAGCATTCCTACATTGAGCAGGGCAGGAAGTGCCGCTACTGTGATGCAGTGTTCCATGAGCGCTATGCTCTCATCCAGCATCAGAAGTCCCACAAAAATGAGAAACGCTTTAAATGTGATCAGTGTGACTATGCATGCCGTCAGGTCAGACAGCTCATGCAAAATTCTCTCCAAATTAAATTTTTATATGCATTATTAATCACGGAGTAGGAAACTGCTTCACATTTACTCTGTGTTCTTGCTAACAGGAGCGTCACATGGTCATGCATAAGCGCACACATACTGGGGAGAAGCCATATGCCTGCAGCCAATGTGAGAAAACTTTCAGACAGAAACAGCTGCTGGACATGCACTTTAGGCGCTATCACGACCCCAGTTTTGTACCCACATCCTTTGTATGCACCAAGTGTGGCAAGACCTTCACTCGCAGGGTACGGTATTTTGAAATAAGTTGAATGCATTTCAGGGTGCCTATACGGTAAACAGCGTTTAACAAATGGCGTGTATTTTTAACAGAATACCATGGCCAGACATACAGAGAACTGCACTGGTATGGATTCTGCTGAAGGAGAGAATGGAGCTCCAACCAAAAGGGGCCGTGGAGGCCGAAAGAGGAAGATGCGCTCTAGGAAGGATGATGATGAAGATAGCGGTAAGTAGCTTTGCTGTAGTTCTGCTACTATGCTGGTGGTTGTATTAGTAGATCAACAAATCCGTTCATGAAATCTGTCAATAAGAACTTGATTATCTGGCTTTTATTTTTATTTTTATAAATGTGGGTTTTAAGAATGGAATGAATGATTTAAAGTGCTAAATAAAAATCATGACTTTTATGAATATTGTAACGCTGTGACCTAAATATATCAGATGAGCATGGAGAACCTGACCTTGATGACATTGATGAAGATGAAGATGAGGAGTTTCTTGATGATGACCAGATGGATGTGGAACAGGCTCCACCCAGCATTCCCATCCCTGCACCAGCCGAACCTCCTGTCAAGAGGAAACGCGGCAGACCCCCTAAGAACGCACCCAAGGCTTCTCCTACCAAGTCTGTCGCCAACACCACCACCGGTAACTTATGCGCTGCTGCATATTAAGATAAACCATTCAGAATTTCCTTTACCTAGGTTTAATGAAACTATTCTCTCTGCTTCTCCTAGCAGCCGCTGCCATTATCCAGGTGGAAGATGAAAGCACAGGGGCCATTGAGAACATCATCGTGAAGAAGGAGCCTGAGGGTGCTGATGCAGCTGCCCAGCCAGTGGTGGAGGAAGTGGAGGCTGTCGAGGCTGGTGTAGAAACGGTGCAGCTAACGGTCCCTGAAGCTGCACCTAACGGTGATCTTACTCCTGAAATGATCCTTAGCATGATGGACCGGTGATCTGGGGGTACATGCACAGGCGGATCACACATGCTTGCGTAAATGCACATCCCCATATGTGTCCCTTGATTATTTATATATATATATATATTACATACATACACATGCTCACATTTCTCTTTCCTCACCTCCTTTAATACAGCGCTGTGTCCTCTTGTCTTGCATCAAATATCTTAAAGACTATAAACCCCAAATTCTGAACGTCCTGAAGTTTCTCACAAGTTTCTTTCTTTCGAGAGCAGGAATGTGTCCGACATTGTGGTATAATACACGCATCTAGAGATTGAGATTTCTTTGCCCAGCTAACCTGCCGTCTTTACTTGTCATTTCAATTACCATGGCTATATTGAGAAACGATCATTTTGTGCCTGGTCAAGCATTGATATCTAGAATCGCTGTCACTGCTGTAGAAATGGGTGTCTTTACTCCATCTGTCTAAGAAAACCCTTTCAATGTTTGACATTTATGATGACTTTTATTCGCTGTCTGTTCATCATGTGCTCTTTCACTGGTCACAGTTGATAATGTTAGAGCGTAGAAATGTAGCCATCTGATCAAGCCAGGAACGATGACATCCATCCATATAAAAAAAAAAAAAAACCTGCGGTTGATAAAGTTGTACACAAAAAGGTCATCTTGGCTAGTCTTGCTTGTAAATAATTTTTATTTTCCGTTTTATTATGAACATTTTAATCTTTTTCTAGTGAATTGATGACCTTGAATGCTTGGGCAATGGCTTTTAACAGTAGTTGTTTGGAAACATGCCACTGAAGGCTTTCAAATTACTTGTGGGGGAAAAAATAAAAGCCTGAAGAATAATGTAGGCTGTATAACCCCGTTCTTTCTGTCCTTCTGTAGCTTGAATCGTTGCATTTTGGTCTGCTCAACTCGCTTGAAGGGGAGGGGTTGCTTCATCTTTTTACCACTGCTTAAAGGCGTTGAGAGAGTGGCTGTAATATTGTACCACCTGATGAATAGGCTTACATGTCGGATTTTGTTCTAGCTTTTGTAAAAGGAGGAAAAGGGACTGAACTGGGCAGGTACAGCGACGTGCAGGTCTCCAATCATTTGGATCCGTTTCGATGTGGTCGTGTTCCCAACAACCATCCCTAATATTAAACTCTGTGACCCGAGTTAATAATTTCATGGGATTCTGAAAGGAGACTTAAAGTTTACAATAGTTTTTTTTTTTTTCAGACCACATTTTATTTAAGAAGCTTAATACGAGTGTTCAAGGAAGCTATTTTGATACGAACTGTTTCTAGAAGGGGAAGCTTGGATAGAATATTTTGTAAAAAAGTTTCACTTGTTCAAAAGAGCAATGTCCTTATTTCTGATTCGGAATGAAGTTTTCCTCCAACATGTAATTGCATTTAAATTGCTTTCTTTTTTTAAGCTCTAAAGAAAAAAGTCTTACAACTGGGTAGTGCTTTTTAAAAATAAAAAATAAAACAGTTGGCTGGTTCAGGCTGGTCTCCCAGGCCTGATTTTAGTTTTGATGGTTGTTTGAGCTAGTCTCTCAGCCTTCACCAGCTACTGAAGTGGCCAAAACCAGCCTGCTGACCAGCTAAAACCAGCTTAGGCTAGTTTTAGATGTTTTTTTTTTTCAGCAGAGTGCACACACGCACATAAACACGATTTTCCAGTATATGTCAAATAGTGACACTAGATAGGTACAGTTTTAGTCAGAAAGGGTAGCCAAAGTTTCAAAGTGAACAAAATTCCACTAGAGGGAGATGTTGAGTAAAAAGTCAATTTAGCCATTTTTTTTTTCCTCAGCCACCTGGACAATGCATTAAAAAGTAAGGGTTATAAATACATTTGCCTTTCTATACATCTCTGCAAAGCTGACACCAAAACCTCTCGTTTAAATGGCTCAGGGATTTGACAATAAGTGTTATCATTCTCACGTGTACCACAGACTGAAGCTTATATTAACCTCATTTGCAAACATTGACATACTTGCATTGGGGTTGAAATGATTGCTGTGATGTGTGAAACTGCACGTTATGAAGTAACTGTGATAGGATGCTCTTCATGCAGTTCAGGTGTCACATCCTGTCTCAGACCTGTACTCTCAAAAACTGTGGTTTTCCCCCATAAGCATGAATCATAAAGCAGCAGGATGTGTGTGTGTGTGTGTGTGTTCAAGAGTGTCACACTTACATGAGAGCTGCCAGCGCTGGCCTGTCTTCACCCTGTTGCCACAGACATTATGGCAGCGCAGACAGAGGTCCCATTTTGCCTCAAAGGTAAGGTGCTTAAACAATACTTTCAGAACACACAACTGAAATATGACTAAATAATAAGCAGTAAGGCTTTTTTATTCTATGAGACAATTGTTTGTAGCTCTTTCAGACTATACAATCTCTACATTACAGTACGGTGCTAAGATTACTTTTAAAGTTATGTGATGTGCAGTTCTGTATAAATGGTTGTATGTGCTTGATTTCCAGAATGCATAACTCAGTATCTGAAGCCACAGAGAGTTCAGTTCATGAGTTTGGTGCAGCTCAACCAGTACAAGGGACGAGCAGAGAGCAGAGTTTTGGTATGTCAGCCTTTTATTTGTTAATTATTTTTCAGAATTTTAATTAAATTCATTTAATTAAATTTGATCACACACACACATATATTAGTATATATATATATATATATAT